GCCCCCGCGGACGCGTTGGCCAGCGCCCGCGCCTGCCGCGTAGCCCCCGACATGGCCCGGGTGGCCGGCGTGTCCGTTGGGCGGCAGGTACTGGTCAAACTCATTGACATCAAAGGTCTCCATGTTGGACATCACTTCGTGGCTGATCTCCCCGATGTCCACATTGCCAAAGTCAATGTGGGGCTTTCCCCCTTCCCCCAGGGAACGCCCTTCTCGTTTGGAGTCAGCTTTGCCTGCCTGCAGCTCGGTCTTAGGGGTGGTAGGAGGTGTAGGGGGCCCATGGCTCTGACCTGTGAGGTGAAACATTTTGAGGAGGAAAGAAAGAGAAGGGGTGAGTTACCAATTTATGCCCGGGTTTATACACAGCCCAGATCTGCTCCACCCAGTATGCCAGCACCTGTCCAGCTGGAGACTTCAGTGGAGGAAGAGAGAAATAGCCAGCCAAAACCAAAACTTTTTATATCATCTTGTGGAAAAAGAAGTACCTTGTGCAAGCCTTGCCTGACCAGAGGAATACAAGTGCCCAGGAAGCTCGGGTATGTCCCTATTCTGCTGACTGCAGCAGAGTTTGTTAGGTCGTGAGCAAGGTGTCAGCCACGTCGTTAAGGCTTTCACCGTGATAACTCATCTGTTTTGAGCCTCCAAATTGGCTGTAACCTGTCAGCAGGGTCACAGAGACATGGGACTCACCTGAGGGGTGTTCTGGGTGCCCATCGGACATGGGTGACCCTTCGCCAGGATGCCTGTGGTCCAGGTGGGCATTCTTATAGTGGGCCTGGATGGCAGCAGCCCCACCAGCCTCCCCCTCCACCTGGCCTTCGCCCTCGCCCTGCGTGGCCTTGCCGTTTTTCCGCCGGCGGGGCTGGTACTTGTAATCGGGATGGTCCTTCTTGTGCTGCATCCTCAGCCGCTCCGCCTCTTCGATAAAGGGCCGCTTGTCACTTTCATTCAACAGCCTGCAGAGGCCAAGGAGGCAGAGAAGAGAAGAGGGGAAGAAGAGGGGCAGGTACATCAGAAAAAAACACCACTATGGGACACGGCCTGTAAATCCCATCATCAGGATGTTACCCCGTTGAGGGTATTTCCCAGAACAACAGAAAGAGCTTCAGTGCGTTTCAGTGGAGACAGCAACATTTGCCTCCTCCTTGTTAGTTATTAAGCCCTGACACCAGTTGGTGCCAGTGCTGGGTCCCTCTTGCCTAGCTATGTGGTGCACCTCAGTAAGTTTAACACTCCCTCTTTTAGTTTTCTTTTAGTTGTATAAAACATTCCATCCCCAAAGGCAAATCGCAGCCTCTCATAGCCACCTAAAATAAGGCTGGGCAAGACGCCTTCAAAGGGTTGGGCAAATGAAAGGCAGCTGGGATGATCGCTTGGAGTCAGGCAGTGTGGCACACCCTTGTTACTTGTAATGCTGCCCCCTGCATATGTCTTGCTTTTCCCCAAACTATTCTAGTTTGATTTCCCACCCTTCCATAGGCTTTGTTCCAAGTTTGAGGCTCTACTGAGCACAAATGGCAGCGACTAGTGTTGCCTGCACAGTATCCATGTTGCTGTGTGAAGGTTGCTGGGTCTTTAAGCATCTTGCTGTATCCTAGAAGGGAACTGAAGAAAATTTTGAAGGGGGAAAAAGTGTATTGTGCTATTCTTGGAGCTCCTGCTCACCTTAAACATTGATAATGCAGAAGGCCGAAGCACAAAGGACCAACCCTTCTTGATCTTAGCTAAGCAGTTATAAAAAAATTAGCTGATATGTTGCTAGCCTTGTAGAAATAGATGAGCTTTGGTCTCTGGATGAAAGGCACTGCAGAAATGTGAGCTCCTTCACTGTGTTCCTGCCAGATTCCTGCCAGATTGTGGACTGCTCTAGTTAAGAGAGGTTCTCCAAGGAAATGGTGAAATGTGCGGGGAGGATGGCTCAGAGCACTTGAAAAAGAGGTCAACCTCATTGCTCAATCCTTTAGCACAGTCTCAGTTGGAAGCACTTCAGTTTCATTTTATTATTTTTGCCCTCAAATATTCTTGTGACTCAAGGTCATTCTGCTTCCAACCAGAAACCAGTTTGCCTAGAAGGGACTAGTCTTCCCATGACTTGCAGCTCAAACAGCTGTTAGAAATGGGGGCTCCCAAATGGCAAAAATTATTCAATTTGTTAGATGTCCACACCTCTCTCCAACAAGTGAACTGTGCCATTACCTTGGTTCTCCTGAAGCCCCTAGCCTGAAAATGTGGCAAATTCTGTTGAAATGTACGAAGCCTGAAAAAGATACCAAGGCCTGAATTGGCCTGAAAAACTGAAGCCAAAGAGGAGGCATGGCTCAAGGAGCACACAGATGAATCTGGCAGGGGATCAAAGGGGCCACCAGCAAGTAATGGGTAGGTTTCGAAGCACCTCCTTTCTCCCTGCTCCTCAGGCATGCCAGCAGCCAGAAGGTGTGTGGCATGGATAGGAGCCCATTACGGTGCTGACCTGGGTTCACTCCAGGCAGCCTGAGCAGGTCACAGCCACACACCACATTCCTCTGGTGCCTTAATCCTGGAGATTAAAGCAACTGAGTCACTGTGAATCCAACACCAGCTTTCCTGTCCCTCCCGCCACCATACACCATGCTCACGCATCCCAGAGGGCTCTAATCCCTCAGCCTATGCTGCTCCAGATGTCTCGCCAAGGGGTCCAAAGGCACATCATGACCAATCCTTGTAGGCATCGTGGACTGGAAGGTGACCTTACCTTGGTAAAACCTTCATCTTTGCAGAACACCCTACCTCCAGGGGAGGTGGAGAACAGAGGCAAAACCTGCAGCCTTGCAACCCAGGACACTTCACTACAAGGCAGCCAGGCTCTGGTGTCCCTGTGCTCCTAGCCCAGATGGTGCTGTAGTTAATAAGATGCTGTGATGGGGAATGAAAGGTCTCTTTCTACGTGAAGGGGTTGTAGGCTGCCCTGCTAGCTTTGATCTGCAGGGCGTACCGCACAGTGAGCTTGGAGCAGAGCCTCCCATGGAAGCTGAAGCTCAGCCTCCCAGGTCCATCTCATAGATGGTGTGAACCAGAGCCACTCCAGGCTATGCAGGCATGAGGTCCCTGCCCTCTGAGCTATGCCCCAGAGCTTCACCTCTCCTCCCCTTGAGAGCAACCCAAGGGCAGTGCCACCTGCAAGACAGCGGCAAGGCCACTTCCCGCATCTTTGCCTTCTCCTTTCCACGGCTGCCTGCTCCCTCCTCCCTCTCGCTGGGATCAGAGCTCAAATCGGCTTTAGCAAAGTGAAACTGGTGCGAGCAGGCAAAGGCCAGGAGATTTGGGGGGATTTGGATTTCACTGCTTCCTGCCCTCCCCCTCCAGCCCCCCAGACTCCCCAGGCCATAATGCAAAGGAATCTCGCACGGGCAGAGAAGTTATGGATCACAGAGCAAAGCTGTTCATGGGGCTTAACCGAGCCCTCGCCGCCTGCCCCAGCACCGAGTGCTCACCCCCAGACCGAGGGGAGAGGGGCAAACATCCAGCGCCCCGCTCCGGGAGGAGAAAGAAGAGCTAAAATCTTTCTGTCCACCTCTTGCAGCTTTCCCGTCTGCCGCCTCGTGTTGCACCGCGCTGTATGCGGCTTGGCG